TTCGATATGTGTCAGCGTGTCAAAATGCGTGAGTGTGACTAGAAACTGGTAAAAGCACTGGCAACTGAAGCCAAGCTGAAGATGGTTTCGTGACTTTCCATTTAGTTGCAGCTTAGTGGAAGCAAGATAGCAAAATTGAAAATTAATTGAAAAATTAAATACTTAAATAGTTGCATTGCCTCAAGAAGATTTGCAGTTTAGCTCTCTTATATATAATATAGTCCTTTCCAACAAACTATGCTTTGCATTCACCTTTACGCTGCGAACGAATACAAGACCTGGCTTAACATAAAGTATATTAAATTCTCAGCTTGAGCCAAGCTCCTTTATGAATCCTTGAATCAAGGTTTGGATACGAACCTTCATTTGTCATATATTTTCAACACGTTCCTCAATGAATCCTTCTCGAATATATTTAGTTCGATTGATTTAGTTTAAGGTCCCCGTTAATAGTAAAATATAATTGGCAATCATTAAATTTTGTAAGACAAATTGTACTTTCGTTAATAGCGAACACAAACGTAATTTCATTCATGCTTGTTATTGGTAACTTCTACTCGACTAACGTGAGCCACGTGATGGCACAGATTGTCACGCGTCCATCTTTAAGTCCGGCTTTCCGACCCAAACGAAACAAAACGAAGTAAGCCGAAACCAAACCAAGCCCCAAACTCAAAACTCCAAACTCCAGGCCGAACTGTCCCATCAACGACAACATCTTAAGCTCATTTGTCACATAAAAATCATATATGTAATTTGCTTGACAACCAAAAGTGGACGTCACGCGCCGCAGCAGCAAACGCCTCCATATTGGTGTAGGTATCAGAGACATGCACATGTTGCCTGAGCCTCTCAGCCCGGATCCCAGTCGAGGTCCAGTCCAGGTGGCGTCGCTGTTGCTGTCGGAGCTGGTGATGGTGTTGCGTTGAGTAAGCATTTCCTTAAATTAGCTGCACTTCGGATGCTGCCTTTTGCCTCGTTCAGACGGGATATGGCCATCATCTTCATCATCATCATCATCATGATCATCGTCATCGTCATCACATGGCCTTTTTTGGGTGGGCACACAACATTAAGTGCTGAGATTTTGATGGAGTGTTGATGCAGCTGAGGTCAGTTGGTAAATTTATGGCCTCTTGCTGCATGTTGCATGCACAAGATGAGCCACACTTTCAGGTGGGCGCATTTCATTCAAATCCATAATCACAATTACAAGAGAAATGCCCGGTTAACTAGCCTCTTTTTTTTTGCTGTCGACCCCTCTCACAATTTCTGGTGACAGATACGATCAGTTATCAAGATACATTCTAGTACTACTCAAATCGAAAATTAATTGTGCTTTTCATCAATTTTATTTAATGTGAAAGCCGGAATTTCGTTTTCCAATTAATATGATTTAATATTAAATTTAGTATTGAATAGACTATAAGAATTAAATTCCAATTTTAAGACAAACTCCAGCAAAGTGTTGCTTGATCAGACATAAAACTGGCTAAGAATGGCAATTAAGAGTAGAAAGTTTCTGAATCGGTAAAAGTAGCCAAAACGATTGAAAGTAAATAATTTTATATAATTAGTTCAGTTTCCTCAGAATGCATTTTGTATATATTAAGTGAACATTTGTGCAGCTTGTAATTAAAGAAATATATATAAAATATATCCTTCAGTTCCATGTTTAATCGATTTTGGATATTTAAGATACGACTAGGCTGTGCTGGCTTCATGCACGATTACTTGGAAAATTCTTGAATAAAGGAAAGTCATTAAGCATAATTAACAATTCAAAGCTTAAATGCATCTTTAGATGCACTCCATCAACCGTTAAGTGGATGCACAAACTCTCTAAACTCTCGATGCTTCCGTGGCGCTCACACCTAGCAGCGAGCCGATGGACAAGTCGAAGGCTTTCACATCCGGTTCTCAGCACTGAAATGGTAAATATGTTCAGTAGAACCGTTTAAGAAATCCATTTAAACAACGAAACGAAACACTTCAAAGTGAACCCCACTTGCTGCAGCGCTGATCCAACTGAAGCTGGCCCTGCTGGCTGCCGTCTGCCGTCTGCTGGTTGAAGGTTTAGCTGCGAGTAAAGCCCGAGTAAAGCCCTTTACAGCTTGGGCAAACATTTGCAATTACAATTTTAGCATATAATTGCAAACATGATAAACACTTTTATCTCCGCTCGCTGCGCTGCCCAGAACAATGCGACAACAGATGCGCCGATGCTTGTGCTGGCTGCTGAGAGATGGCCAGGACGGATGGAAGGATGGAATCGCTGCTGTTTGCTGAGACAAAACACACAGAGATAGAGATGGAGACGGAGGTGGAGACGGAGACTGTGACTGGGACTGGGTCTGCGACTGGGGCTACAACTCACGCAGCCGTCGACAGGTTTGGCTGCCAAGAAGAAGCGTGTCGCCAATTGATCGTGAGTTTTACCTAGAAAAATGTCGCGACAATTGTTAGCAATGGAATAAAAAAACAGAGCTAAAAAAAAAAAGAAACAAAACTTACAAAAGAACTGGTAGCAACAACCAAGAGGACAGAGAACAGCTCAAAGCCAAAGCTGAAGCTGGAGCTGGAGCTGGAGCTGGAGCTAGTCTAGCGTAGTATGCAATTGAAATTGAAGAATTACGCGAAGAATGTCAGCGAACATAGTAAATGTTGTACATAAGCCTCCGACTGGCTCTTCGGGCCATGCATTATGCCAGTTTTTGTGCAGCGCTGGTTGGGGGGTTGGGTGGTGGGTTGGTGGTGGGGTGGTGGGTCGGTGGTGCAGCACAATGCAAGAAATTGTCACAGGCGGCCAAGTGAGGCACAGCTGATCGGCGGCCAGAATCGTGCAGGGCCAAAACAGCCCCCGCTATTTGTGGCTCTGTGGCGGCATCTAAATGAACTGCAGATCGACTTCATTTTAGCAGCCAGCGCCTCATTACGAATGGAAATGATGATGGACAATAATGACGCGACAACAGGAAGTCCAAGCTGCCGTCGCTGCCGCTGCCGCTGCCGCCGTTGACAGTTGCAGTCTTCAGCCTTTTCCAGTTTCCCAGTCGGATAGTGAATGAACAGCGATTGCAATTGATGTGGCCCAGCATCGGGGCCAGATCTGAACCGAGAGATCTACGATTCGAACTGGGCTAGTGCATCGTTAAATTGATTTGTGATCTGTGTGTGCCTGCAGAGAACTAGTTTCCAATGGCTGAGAAAGCTTTTGTCCCGCCGCATGCAACGAAATATTTCAGTTTGTATTGCATCTCTTTGGATATTCGAAAAATGTCACCTATGCTGAAAGCCACTTTGTTTGGCTCGCCTTTGATGAGCTCTCGCTTCCGTTTATGGACTCCGACTCTCAATTTTGGCATCATCGCTGTCATAAGAGAGTTGTAAGTATTTCTTTCGCTTTTTCTAGGTGCCTAACCTTACGTATTTGGCTTGCGAATGTCACCTGTATCATGGCTAACATAACTAGCAAAAATGCAAACAATTACTATAAATATGTATATATTGCATATAATTCAATATCTTTGTTTATGAACCAACTATCGAGAGATACAGAATATATAATATAATGCAGACTTTCATCTCTCACATGAAAATAAATGAGGAATTTATAATATGAGCAGAATTTTGCCTGATGACAAGGCATCAAGGGACAAGGGACATCCCCTTCAATATATTACACTATTTGGAAATATGTCGTAAATACAAAATTTATTACACAATAATAATACCATAATTGCCTGCAAAGAATTGTGTCCAAATGCATCTCATAACCCACCGAGCATGGCAATGCTCAGGCTAATGCACCAACTAATAGAGCCCACATTCAATTCGGCTGAGGCTGTCGGACAAGTTGACAAACAAATTTACGGCAACTCGAAATGGCAGCAGAGAACCGTTAAAGCTATTGCCAGGATTGTCATAATTTCGATTAGCTGGCCAATAAAAGACAACAACAGCAGCAGCAGCAGCAACAGCTAGAACAAGAGGAGGAGGACCAGTTGAACAGTTGAATGGAAATGGCACAACGCCCGCGACTTTCGCTCGGTTCTTTGGAAAAATCATCCGCAAGCCTTTTCCAATGAACAGGCCGACTATTCGGCCAGCCTGTCCAAATGCAACAGAAATTAAAGTTAACAAATTTCCGACAATGTTTGGACATTTTCCAAGCCGAACGAACAACAGCATCAGCAGCAGCAGGAACAAGAGGCGTCTAGCGGTCCCATGGACTGGGAATGATCTGAGTACGAGTACGAGTACCGTAATTGTTCGACGTGTTTTCGGTTCTATTGTGCGCGCACTCAAAGTTGTCAGAGGACCGTTCGGGAGTATCTGGTAACTAAAAGAAGGCATTGTGGAACGCGGCAAGTAGCTATCCAATAGCTTCCTTCCATCAGCAGCAGACGCCCAAAGGCCTGCAACTTGTTCAATTGTTCACATTTTCAATGTACTCTATGTGTGTGTTGGCTCTTTTTTGGGCTTTGGCAATTAGAGACACATAGAGAGAGAGAGAGAGAGCGAGACAGAGAGAGAGAGAGAAGGGAGAAACTTGGCATTTCCACGCCTTTGCAGATTTGCGGCTCAATGTGTGTAAAGTTAAGTTGTTGTCATTGTTCTGATCAAAGTCGTTGTTGTCATACTTGTCCGTACTCGGCCAGGTTTTAGCAAGTCGTGATATCCAATTGGAGTTCAGATTTTGGTGCATCTCCCTCCCTCTCTCTCTCTCTCTACAGAGAAGAACACACAGATCTAGCCCTTGTGTGGCATAATTGGCTCTTATTAAAAATGTGGAAAGTGCGATTATATTATTGCTATCAAAAACTAAACAGTTATTGCCCTCAAGGTATTACCCGGCTTTGTCCGGCCCAAGAGTTAGTCCTTCAATCGCGGCTAAGGGTTTTCGACAATTTCCCGCCTTTCTCACAGAGCAAGGTGGATTTAATGCAATCGAGGAAACACGCCTTAAATAACTCTGTCAATTTTTAAAATGAGTCAGTCTGAGAAATACAGAGAAAATGTTATATTTTTGCATTGAGTCAAAATAACAAGGAGCTCATTAAAATCAGTAACGAAATCATTTGGTAATCAGAAAAGAACGGACGCAATCGATTGGGCAAGCATTTAGTTTGACAGCCAGTCGATAATGCATAATATTGACATATTCAGTTAGAGTGACAAACACTCTCACATTCTCACACTCCGCTGGGCAGCTGGTGATAATTGGCGTCTCGTTGAGGCATCCACGAAGCATCAATGCAGGGGAGTGCAGGGGAGTCGGCTGAAGATGAGTGCAAATCATGGAGCTGGCTGGCATTAGGCAAAGATCCACAAAGGCGAAGGCAAAGTTCTCACAATTTAATTAGTATGCATTTCCATTATTTATATAGTATGCCCTCAATGGCCACATCGTTAGCAGTTGGCAGTTGGCAGTTGGCAGTCAGTTCCACTCGGGGCTCTCGGGGCATTGTTTTCGTGCATCCACAGGCCGCAGGGGCAGCAGGGGGGAAGTGGCGGCAACTCCAGCTCGTACGCATGTCAATCTTGTCGGATGCTCTGTAGTTGCAGGTAAGAATACAAACACACTTTCAACTCATTTGGTTTGTAACTCTTGTTGGGTTCTTTGGGCCTTCTTCTCGTGCCTGGTGCCTGGTGTTTTGTAGTTTTTATAGCTGCTTTTTACAGCCGCGAGACGATCCGTGTACTTCCACAAACTATTGTAATACATCAATCAATATGATTATGAGCACTAGCGCTTCGAGCCAGGTTCCCTCTCATCCCTCTCCTCTCTCCATCTGCGTCTCTCTCATGTGACATGTGCTTGATTTATTTCAAGTTTTTCAATATGTGTTCTCTTGGGTTGCCTTTTCTTGGGTTCTGTTTGTCAATGGCAAATAAACCAATACCAAATCGTAAACAGTTTTTGTATATTGACACCTTTCTTCTGTTTCTCTGAATATGTAAGCTCCGTACGCATTTCCGTAGAGCTTAAACTTACATTTCGCCATCATCTGTTTGTTCATAAATGTTTCGTTTTTCAAGAAAGCTAAATTATGGGTCAATCTGACCATTTTTGAAGCATCGTTAACCAATTCTTAGTTCAACTACAAAGATATTGTGAAAAAGGTTATAAAGAATAGATAAAATGTACATACATATACATCTAATACCCTAATATTGTCTAGAATTGGAATATTTGTATGGCTCATTAGCACGTATATTTCTGATCAGACGGTAAAGTTGACTTTCGACAAAAATAATTCTCCAATATATTCGAATTCTTTCACTCAGGATAATTTTTGTTGTTTAATACTTTCTATATAATTGACAGACTTGTTGACAGGTTTTAGATAAGCAAAAGGAAACTTATCTATATCATGTACTAACCTCTTTCTGGGTCTAAACAAACTTTTGTACTTATGAGAAACTAATATAAACGATAGTGAGCGTTTAGTTAAGAGTTTTGTTCTGGCCTTCGTATATGTCATACTTGATATAAACAAGATTATAACAATATTTTTAGAGTTAATTTATGTGAAAAAACCCTGATTTCGTAATTGATTTTGCTGACTGACCCCACAAGACGTTAAGTTCATAAAATCAGGTCACAGTGCAAAAATGGCGCCTCCACCCTACAGGCGCAGCTTAAAGAGTTCAAGTCGGATGAGTTTCCAGATACTTGTTTACAATATTAATGAAAGTATTGCTCATAATTAATGAAATCTTAATGGGCGCATTACAAGGCAACGCAGACAGCACACAAAACACAAATCAGCGCCGGGCCAAAGCAGCTTAGCGAACAGAAGTTCCCACATCATTAATAAGAACAAAAAAAAAAAAAAGAAAAAAAAGTAAAGCGAAGTCCAACTAGAGATCAGAAGCAGCATCGCTCGGGAGACACACACGATGATCCCGTGCTGGCGCTGGCCAACAGAATTCAAACGAATTAAAGCGACTCCAACTTACAAATGTATCTACAAGATACAAGAACAAAAACAAACCCCAAATTGAAAAAAAAAAACAAAAACAAAACAAAAAACACAAGCGACGACAAATTATGCAGCGACAACGCAGACAAACCCAAAGCGCAGCAGCTGTAGAAGAGTTTCGATTTGGACTTGGACCGGGACTTGGTCACCAGAAGGAAGCTGCGGACTTGGCTGGATTTGTATTTGGCTATGTTAAATAAATTATAACAGTCGAAATGAAGTTGAACGTTTTGTCTGCTGTCCGTTTAAATGATATTTATTAGCCCTAAATGGCTGCGGCGCTACCTGAACGGGGCCTGGACGGGCTCAATGCCCCAGCGTATCTACGAGTTAGCCCGATAATCTGATAATCTCCGGAGCTAAGTCTCAGCGCTCTCGCAACCTTTTCACACTCAATTAGCTCGGTTCCCATATCGCTGCATCTACTGGCTTTTCACTTTAATATTTTATCGATTTCATTTGCATGCGACTAGACAATAATACTTTTCCTATATAAGTATCTATGCGTGGCTACTGCAGTTGATGAGCTGCCGCTGCTGAGCTCCCAGCTTCCAGCTGGTAAATGCTCGCACACTCGCATTTGTATCCCATGGCATTGAAGGCAGTCTGAAAATGTTCTCAGCTCATAAAATTCCATAGTGAATCATTTTTCTCTGCGCTTTTTGTCTGGCGTCTTTCCGTGCCAAGTCTGTCCGTCCGTCCGTCTGTCTGTCTGTCCGTCTGTCTGTCTGTCTGTCTGCTCAGACAGTGCGCTCCATTGGTCTGCATTTCATTTATTGTGTAATTCTCCACAATGTACTTTTTGGCCACGGATTTGTTTCTTGCCTGCCCCGCGTCTGCTGGCTGCCTTGTATTGGGCTGTCTTCGCTTTGAATTTGATTCTTGATTTTATGTCAGTTTATTTATGATAAGATGACCTTTTTTTTTATTCATCTCATTTTCGGTTTGTCGTCGTCGTCGTCGTCGTCGTCGTCGTCGTCTTCGCTGGGCTGCTATTTAATAGAATTGGAGCTGTGTGTGCATATCTAGTTCGGGATACACATTTGTGGAGATGAATGAATGAATGAGGCTCATTAAATTATGGGGCACTTATGGGTTAGCGGTGTGTGTTTTAAGCCACATTTTGAAATATGAGTAGCGTACACTGAGCACAATATTCGGGTGCTTTGATACTTTGTTGCTAGCTAAGACTTGAGCGAAACGGGGTTTATATCAATTAATATATCCCTACAAAAACTAAAGCTTTTTCAAAAGCTGTAAGTTGATCTGAGTTGTTTATAATGTCAGGATCGGATGTTATGATACCAGGATGTAGAATTTGTGTTTGTGTCCAGGTGTCCTAAGTACTTTGAAAGCAAGGCATTTATCGTAAATTTACAAACTATTTCTCCTTTTTGATATGCTATATGAGATCTTCCAACTTTTCACTTACCCTATATTTCTTATTTGTTAACCCTTTTTTTAAACTCTTGACTATTTCTATTCCCTTTATCAAAATTTATTTCAATTATTATATTTTTTAACTTAAAGTTAATGAAGATCATTTTGAATTTTTACTTTTCGCTTGATGTATTTTTATGTAATAAATTCTTAGGTTTTATCGGTTATAAATTAAATAAATAAATAACAGATTCTCATAAGTTTCAGATCCAATTCGATTTTGATATTAATTAGTCTCGAATTTCTCTCAGTGTGCATAGCCCAATCCTCGGAGAGCAGCAACAATTTCCGATCATGTGCGCTGAACACATTTAAATCCAACAATCCGATAGCTCAGTTTACTATTTTGATTTTGAATCTGGCAGCTGTTGTTGTTGTTGTTGTTGTTTTTGTTGTTCGCGTTGCTCGTTTAGAGCAAATTTTCAAGATCAACAACAACGCAGTTGAGCGTCACGAAGATGAAAAGCGAGATCTTTTATAGCGATTAGGCGCGGACAATGAATGCACGATGGATTCAGAAAAAAAATGAGAAAAAAAAAACACAACCGAAAACGCGACTACAGAACTTTATATACGAGACAAGCTAAAGAGACAAGAATGAGAACAAGAACACAAACTTTTTGTTGATCTTTTTTTCCTGAATGCTGCAATCGTTGCTGCTGTTGTTGTTGTTGCTGCTGTTGTTGTTGTTCTTTGGCTTGGCATTATGAGAATTGAGCCAAACATTTTTCAACTGGCCGCGAGACGCAGACAAAGGCATTAAATACGAAATGAGTCTGGGATATATAAGTATATTTTGGAACCGCCGCCGCGTTGAAACCGTTGACAGACCTTGTATTATTACTGTCAACCCTGTGCCCAGGCCTGTTGTTTGTCTAAACATAATTGAAACGCGCTTTCAATGAGTTAATTTGGAGTTTGCCCTGGCACTTCATGAAGGACCGAACCGAACCGGACCGGACCGGACCGGAGCCCGGACGCCTACGTAAACACAATTAGGTGCCAAGTAATAGACGCGTCCAGCTCAAGCCACACGGGCCGTGAAATGACAAAATGTGGAGTAAACGATCTTGGTAAACAAATCAAGAGCATGGCCCATGAATTCTTGAATGAGCAGTGTCACGGCTCGGTCTCTGCCCCACGTTGGGGCATCGTGTGTCCACAACAGCCTAACATAATATTTTCATAGGGCATTTTTAATGGTTTAGTATTCAAGTGGAGCTCGTTCGCTGCGATGCATCTTGCCGCCGTGGCGTATACGTAATTGTTTTGTAAATGATACGCCAGCGACTACACACACACACATTAAGTTATACTGCCCACTGTCCAAATGACTTGCCACTTTGTGTTGCCAAGTTTAAAGTTGCTTAATTAGGCGGCTGGACGAGTCTCGCTTCGCGCGCATCTCTATGATGCGGCTATAGCCATATCTATGATATTTGTGGCCCATGTTGACAGGCAACAAAAGATATGTAAAGCTAGTCGCAGCCAACAGGCAAAGGCTGGGATACGCATACCCATACGCACAGCTCGGCAACTTCATTAACAGGCACCCGTTTAAGAAGTAAAAATAAAGTATTATTTATGATTATTGTGAGAATTTCACAATGGCATGCGAGAATTTATTGTTAATGCTTTGTTGCAGCGACCAGAGACTGCGGCTGTGGCTGTGGCATACCCAAGCAGCCTCTGTACGATGGCTGCAGGTACTATGGGCCACGATGCACACCTGAGTGTGCAAATTGCGAACGAGTTTAAGAAATGGCTTTGTTCTTGGTGTGGATTAATTAGCAGTACGATAAATTAATGCGCAAATTAAATTAAACTAAAACGATTCTGTTTACTCCAAACATGTCTCAGATAATTCTCGAGTATATTTATGTCCTATGACTCATTCACATTCTTTTTTTTCTTTTCTTTTTTTTAGCTCACTTGCATTCCTTGACGCTTGGTCCCACGGTGCTTCACTCAGATCCTAGAACACAGAAAATGCCCAGCAAGAAGACAAAACAAATTCCGTCAGCAATAACAACTTTTGATGTTTTCTGGCATTGCACAGATATGTACATATTTACATATTTCACTTATTATTCGCACTTTTGCCCGTTCTTGTCGCCTTTTAGATGCATTCTTGCGGTATGGAATTGTAATTAAAGTTTAATTCAGATGTTATGACAATCGTTTGACTTGCCATCTTTTTTGCGGCTTACACTTGTTGCTGTCGTAAACATGGCTGTTTATTAGTCAATGTTTGCTTGAAGGAATGCCAAACACTTCCCGATTGCTGCTATTGTTGTTCAACACTTGAAATGCGTCGCCATCTTTGCTGCTGTCACCTTGTGCACAGCGTTGCCACATTTCAGTGGGGCAGCTGCCATTGGCTCAAATAATAAAACGTTGTTTTGAGAATTCATTCATACAAATTTTTATTGTTTTTTTTTTCATATTTTTTTTTCTTTTGCATTTTGTTTGTTCGTTTTTTGTAGCTTGTGTTTTTTTTCTTGTAGTTTTTCAATTCATTTTTTAATTACTAAAATTTCATAAAATTGTTTAGACTAAATCGTAAGTACAACACTAAATTACAATTGTATGTATGTAACTACTATTTTAATATTTTTCATTTTGTATAAATATATGTATTTAATGTCTTATAAACTTTTTACAATCTGACGTGTGTGTGTGTGTTTTTTTTTAGGTTTTCTTTTTTGCAATAAAAATATAAATTACTAAAAACGACTATTTAAAAAATTAAATATTTATAAAAAATATATGTATATATGCATATGTATATAGGCGATCTAAGCATATATTATGTATGAGCGTAGATAACAAAATGTTTTAAGGAGAACTTTTAGTTAATATGTACACAAAATTAGTTGAGATAAATATTGATGAGCGCTGATTTGTTGGTGTAGTTTTTAATTAGCAAATGTATAAAAAAAATATATGTATGAATATATTCATCCTTAATTTTTGTTTTGTTTGTTTGTTTTTTTTTTTTGTTTAGCACTTTTACAACTAGTTTTACACTAACGAGGAACCATTTGCAATTTAACTGTAAGTTTTATGAGTTCGTTTTGTGAAGATTTAATTTTGATATTTTGGAATTACGCAAACAGATGTTGCGTCATACTTGCATACTACACATTGTTTGTTAAATGGTTTTGAGATCAAAATTAAATGTAAATTTTTTTTTTTTTTTAGTATTTTTCTTTCTGCTGTGTAACAACAGAGGAAATAATAATAAGACTATACTGTTCTGTAGACTTTCAAACATACGCACGCATATATTATATAAATGTTTTTGTATTTTGTATATTTCATTCAATTTTGTCTGGTTTTTTCTTTTTTTCATTTTGTATCAAATAAATTTACGCTTAAGATTTATAAATTCAATACATTCCGTTAACAGTTAGTTATTAACTATAAATATTGTTGACTTCTTTTCTATAATTTCTCCAAATTAAAAAAAAAAAATGCCAAAAATAATACAAAAAGTTAAAAAAAATAAGATGAAATAAAAGGTGTATATAGTGTAAAAATTAAGCACTTATAATAGAATCACTAAATGTTGTTGTTTGTCTTCGTTTGTTTGTTTGTTTGTTTGTCTGTGTAGGGCTTTTAGATAATGTAATTAAGCTAGAGTTAAATTTTAGTCATACTTGATGCATATATTTTAGACACTAAAAATAGAGCGCGAGATAGTCAATTATTTTTTTTTGTATTTTTTTGCTTTTTTGTTTTTATTATTTTGTTTTGTTCTGTGTGTGTGTTTGTCGTATATCAGAGTTTACCTATAGATACTATATACAAAATGCTTGTGCACTACTTTGCATAGACAAGTGGACAAGTCGGTCGACCATGCAGCGTCAATGAGGAATTTTTGTATTTAACTTAGGCTCTAGATTAATTGCTAATTATGCGCTAGAGTTCTTTGCGTTAAGTAGTATTTACAATTTATCGCAACTAAGTGAAGATAATAATAATAATATTAATAATAATAATTGAAGCAGATTTTTCAGTAACATGCAAAACGTCAGTATATATATATGTATATGTATATATAGAGTTTGTTTTCGTCCAGTATAGAATTTCTCGTGGCTGCCAGCGCTTTCTCTTTTCTCAGCTGCGAGCCGCAGCCCGGCGCCGTTGCCATCGTCAAGTGTGGAGAGTTTTAGTCGAAGGCAGAGTTTTGAAAAACAATTGATTTTCTTGAGTAGCTTTTTATATATATATACGCATAATTTATATATATATATATATATATTTAGTTTTATATACATTGAGAACTTTATGCTTACGTCAGTCCATGTGAAACTAAAATGTTAAATTAATAATTACGATATAAGGTTTTAAAATTGATCGATAAGTGTGTGTGTGTGTGTTTGTGCTTGTGTGTGGGTGTGTTTGTGTTTGGGTGTGGGTGTGTGTAGAGTTAAGCCTGTTACAATTTTGACGACTGCACTGCTTCAATCAACAACAAAGCCATAAAAGGCTCATTTGGCGTCTCTCTCTCTCTCTCTCTCTCTCTCTTTTTCACTCTGTCTCGCTGTCCTGGCAGTCTTTGTTTACATGTGCGGCGTACCGCAGACCACTGTGCGCTGCGTCGTCGCCGCACCGCTGCCCGTCGCCGAGGCGGCGGCCATCAGCTGCGAGGAGCAGGCGCCGGCGACACCTGCCGCGGCCAAGGAGGGCCAGCGCTGGCTGCAGTAGGAGCCCTCGCCCAGCACCGAGATGCGCTTGCCCTTGCCCTCGCTGGCGCCCGTTCCAGCGCCTGACGCGCTGTAGTCTTTGGTTGAGCCAGCATTTGCTGCTGCTGCCGCTCCGGCGGCTCCAGCGTTCGCGGAGAGCAGCTGGGAGGCGCGATGCATTAGCGTGGGATCCGTATTGAGCTGCTTCTGCGACTTGGCGCGCTGCAGCGGCGTTATCTGGCCGACGCCGCAGAACTCGGAATTGGCATTGTTGTCCGCGGCGGCGGCATAGTTGGCCAACGCCCCGGAATACATGCGGCACTCGTCGGCGGCAGCCGCAGCCGCAGCAGCTGCAGCGGCCGAGGCGCAGATGTTGTTGACCGACTTGTCCCACGTGTTCTTGATGATGTTGGGATTGCTGTTGTCGAAGGTCAGTCCGCCGCTGCTGCCGCGCTTCACGCCCAGCGTGCCGACGGGCAGACCGCCGACGCCCACGCCCACGCCGACGCCGCTGCCATTGTGATGGAGCGTGGCGACCGCGTTCTGTTCGTTCTGTTTGCGTGCCTCGGCGTCGTCCTTTTCCTGGGCGCGCTTGCGCTTGCGCTTCATGCAGAAGACAACGCAGGCGGCGATCACAGCGACAAGCGGCATGGCCACGGAGAAGATGGCAATGAGCACGACCTGGGCATTGGTGAGGCCGTCGGCGCTCGCTTGCGTCGTGGCGCCATATTGGTGGGCATCGAAGCTGACCGAGTCGTAGGACTCCTCGTCGCACTGCTTGCCGCGGAAGCCGTTGGCGCAGACGCACTCGAAGCTGTTGACGCGATTCATGCAGGTGCCGCCGTTGTGGCAGGGCAGGCTGCCGCACTCGTCGATGTCGATGGAGCAGTCCTTGCCGGTGAAGCCCGCACGACACGCGCACTGATAGTCGTTGCTCAGATTGGTGCAGCTGCCGCCGTTGGCGCACGGCTTGGTCAGGCAGAGATCGACCCGGCTGCTGCAGCTCGGCCCGTGGAAGCCGGGCACGCACTGGCAGCGATACTGGTTGAGCATGTCGATGCAGGTGCCGCCATTCTGGCACTTGTGCCCCACACAGTCATCGATGTTATGCTCGCACTTGGCGCCCGTGTAACCGTCGGGGCAGATGCATTTGCCGTTCGGCTGGCAGCTGGCGCCGTTCTGGCACGGATTCGGATTGCAGTTGTCTAAATGCAGCTCGCAGGTGCTGCCGCTGTAGCCGCTGGGGCAGTCGCACTGAAACCCCTGCTTGCTGTTGCCGCTCGTGTTGCGGCACCTGCCCTGGTGGCACGGCTTGTCGGCGCAGGTCAGCAGCTTGTCCTCGCACATGCGTCCGTTCCAGCCCTTGGGGCAGAGGCACTTGTAGCCGCGCTCCGTCTTCTCGTTGACGCAGGTGCCGCCGTTCTGGCAAGGATTCACATCGGAATCGCACGAGTTGATCTCCGTCTGGCAATCGTTGCCGCTATATCCTGGCGCACACATGCACGTGTACAGTCCTTGGCCGGTATTGAAGCAGGTGCCGCCATTCAGGCAGGGCCGATGATTCGTGCAGTAGTTCAGGTCCTGATTGCAGAACAAACCGCCCCAGCCCTCGTTGCAGATGCAGTCCCATGGCTTGTTGCACGTGCCGTGCACGCAGCTCGGGTACGGAGCGCACTCATCGCACAGCGGTCCTCGCCAGCCCTTCTGGCAGCTGCAAATAGAGCAAGGTTAACAATTAATTAGTGTCGAATAAAAAGCAAAAGAGAAGTCTCAGGACGACCACAAATCAAATTACAAGCGTTAATTGCACTTTGAACTAGTTCCTAGCCACTTATCGCTTATTGATAACTAAATTAATTTTTATTATGTATTTTATAAGGATGAGCACAAATCAAATTGCAAGCATTAATTGCACTTTGAACTAGTTCTTCTTATCGATAACTAAATTTATTTGCTGGCAGTTCCAAAACCCAAACGAATGCGATGCATAAGGCAATAAGCAAAAAAAAACGGAACACGCTCATTGCTCATCAATGAAATATGCAAAGGCAACGGGAAGGGGCAGAGGCGATGGGAGGGGACGCTGATTGCTGGACATGACGGACACGGTTATTGCGCTCGGGGCGCTGGTTTACTTTTGAAGTCGAAGTCTCAGCCAATGCGAAAGCATGAAGGAAAGAAGGCGCATCACCTGCTTAGCAAATCGCTCGCACATACACACACTCACATACACACACACACACAGACATAAATCAATACATACGTAATTGGCCGTGTGGGCGCAGCAACGCTTGGCTGGGTCTTGGGGCAGCTAAGAAGAAAATAAACCAAAAGGGCAACGACAACTTTTGCTTGGGATCTGGGCACTTTTACTGCTCCTGCCCGAACGATTTGGATCGCTTGATGCCCCCAAGCGGGACGTGTGCTTGACAGCCGTGCCCAAGGAGAAGTTGTAGGAAAAGGCATGTCAACTTGAGAGTCAAAAAGTACAACAAAAAAAAACAATGAAATGATGCGACGTTGTTTTTTTCATTTCATCTGTTCAAGTGCACATATCCGCACAGCGCCAGTCAGAGCAAGGGGGGGGGGGGGGGAGAGGGGGTTATGCAGTTTTGCATTTCTCACGATCGCAGCAAGCACTAAATTAATTTATTTTATTTGCAGCGCGCTCCACTTTGCGTTGCCAAACACACATACACACGCGTGTACGCACGCACGCACGCACGCGCATCGCACTGTGCGCTGGCCACAAATGCATTTTCGATTAATATGCATAAGTCAAAAAAACGAAAGAGAAAAATCCTTCACCCACAAACTCTCAATTGGCAATAATTCAAAGCAGAACCAAGAGGGAGGAAGGGGGGGGGGGGTCAGCACAAGCGGTGCGAAAGAGATAGAAGAGACAAGTGGTAATTGATATGCGTCAGTGTTTACACAAGCAGAAATGTCAAAAACGTTGGCGACGCGACGTTCAACACCGTTGCCAACTACCAGCTGAGTGCGTGCGTGTGTGTGTATGTATTTGGTCATATTGCGCGCGCGCTTAGAATTATTAAAATATTCCCACCATTACGAGGCAGCGCAGCACAAAAAGCACTTTAATTTTCAATGGCTTTGCCTTTGGCTGTGGTGTTGGTGTTGGCTTTGGTTTGGGATTTGGCTGAGTGGCACACGCATACTTGAGCGTAACGCTTGCGGTTTTTTCTACGAACAATCAACACGTCGGGGCCTATTTATAAAACAAACATTTTATCCCAAATCACATCAATAACATTTGCTGCTGCTGCTGGAGCTGCTGCTGCTGGTGACGGGGCAATGATGTGTTTGAATTTTTGGTTTTGGCACAATTATTGATTGAACCACAAAATGTTTGATTTCCGTTTGGCAGAGTGGGAACTGTTACGAGCAATAGGCGGGAATATAAACTTTATTGGCCAGCAATGCATAAATAATGAGCAACATCCTGTTCGAAATCGACAAGAAGAAATCTAAACAACGGCGCAATTAGCTTTCTGCACTCGAGCTGGCAACGCCAACCAACAGCTGCTGCTGCTGCTGGCTGATGGCTGATGGCAACGCCATGAGCTGAGATTTGAGCTTGAAATTTCATGCATAAAATATTTGCCAGCGTCGTCAAAAGTGTTGGCTTACACCTTGCTGTGTCATTGTTGTTGCTGCTGCTGCATTTGTTGTTGCTGCTGTTGCTGTTGCCCTATGAAAAATGTGGGAAAACTTTGTAATTCAATTTCGTTCGCCTCTGTGTGTATTGCTTTTACTTGACTATTTCAGCAGGCACTCGAATAATTGTAATGCAAAACCTCGACAATCAAATGACAGCCAATGCACTCCCGACCGACCGACCGACAGACCGACCGAGAGACAGCCAAAAGAATTTCTTGTGGTCGCACAAAACGTGCACTAAACGGCTAAGCAAACAGACTTTTGGTGCTGTTGCCACTTTTTGCTTATGCTTTTGCCCTTTACCAAACTTGGCAGCACTCGACAAGCAAAAACAACAAATAAAACTGTGTAAAAGGTGTGTCCAATGACAATTGTTGTTGTTTGTTGTTTTTGTTGTTGTCGCTGTCTGAAGCAAAAACGTGCAGCAAACAAAAAAGAAAAAAATCAGCTCATCTTGGCAAAGAAAAGCTTTGCTTAATTAGCAACATGTTGCGCGCAATACGCAGCAACATGTTGCGGGTGGTCCCAAGCAACAGACTTTAAAATCTTTTGGGCTTGTTTCAATTGTTTTAAGTTTAGTTTATTTATGTTTAATACTTACATGCATTGATTGGGCTTATCGCACTGACCATGGAGACAGCCTTTGGCGCATTTGGCTGCAAATAGAAAGAAAGGGTATGCAAATAACATTAATTGATATGTTGATGAGTTTAACAAAGGGGAAATACTTAAAATTAATAGCCTCGCGAAGCGACACTTTCCCAACACATTCGGCTTTTAAGTGGCCAGCTGACCACCTGCCACAATGCGTAGTTACACCCACACGCAGCAGACGCCACGGCCCACATTGATGGAAGCCGGAGACGAAACAATGAGGCGAACACAATGCGAACGAGATTTGAGGCAATTTGAAGGGGGAAAAACAAACTTTCTTTTTCACGCGTCTGGGCAATGAAAAACCACTAAACGGGCCAAAATGTGGCATCTTCGAAACAATTCGACACTAGATAGACAAAACGTTTAAAAATGTTGTGGCCAAAATCATGAATCATGGCCCAAAAAAAAACTAAACGCTTGTGACTCTCAAACTGTGCGGCAGCAGGAATAACTTGTTTCTAATATGCTGCGGCAGGCCAGGCCAGGCCAGGCCAAAAGGAAACACCACAAAATGAAATAATCCCATGGCCGCAAAGAGCTGCAGCAGCATCATAAACCGCGGCCCGAAAACCGATTCCCAAGCTCCAAAAGGTTCGACGAAAACTTCGATTGTGAATTGGAGGAGCAACAGAGAGAGAGAGAGAGAGAGAGAGCGAGAGAGAGAGGGCGAAGAAGAAGCTGGGCCAAGAATGTGGCAAACATGTTTCTTTCGATCTGGGGCTGGGCCCTGGCAGGAAGTAGGGGAGTCTTCGCTGCCGCCCGCCTCGGCGCAAGGGCCGCGCATAAAGAAAATCGTGAACACTGCGAATAAGGCAAAGCTCCTCTTTAAACTGGCCAGCCAGCCAGCCAGCCAGATAGCTAGCGCAGACACCCCGAGTGAGTTCCTTTCATTCAGCAGGAAAATTGCTAGAAAATCACTAAAACGTGTTCTCTCTCCCGGCTCCTGCTGTTCAGATCGCTTTTAATTCCCCCGCACGCAGTTAATATATATAAGCCGTAATATTGGCAATTGGCAATGATTTTTATTACATGGCCACAGACCGAGGAGCAATGCAGACCAGACCAGACCAGATCAGACCAGAGCCAAGCAGAGCAGCTACACTTGAAATTGTTTTTCCACAGCGACTGAAAGTGAGTTTGTTGTTGTTGTTGTTACTGGTTGTTAGCTGGTAGCCAGGTCTGAGGATCGTTTCGTGTCTATTTGAAACGTGCTCGGGTTCGTTATGTTCTTGGCTTCTTTCTTGTGTGTGTGTGTGTGTGTGTGTGTGTGTGTTCACACGCCCGCAAGCGGATGACGCAAAAGTATCACATGGATTAGGAGCGCAGGCCTAATGATTATGACGGAGTATTCCAATTGGTGTGTATTTACTTTCACTTGAGTGCGCTTAGTTATATGTGGGTTGGATCTGCATCTTACAGATACATTTGTATCTGGCAGATACATTTGCATCTCGCAGATACATTTGTAACTTTGGCGTATTAACAAGCCGACTGCATCCTAAAACCAATTTGCAGACATTCGATCGCACGTATCTGACAGATACAAATGTATCTCGGGGTGTGCGCAGGGCACAAGTGCACCCACAGCTGCCATTTCAGCCCTGGCAGCTCATTCACAAAAGCAAACAGCTTTAGTCTAAATAGCTCATTTCCTTGAAATTAAAACGCACACACACACATGCACACACACAATTCAGAGCAATCGAAGTTTCATTCAAAAAAAAAAAAAAAAGAAAAAAACAAAGCCATGTTTGCAGACCTTTTGGGCCAATTTAATAAAGGCAGCCACTTCCACATGAGCAGCGTTTTTTTGTTGTTGTCGAGTTGTTGTTGTTTTTGCAGCCGCACGTTTTGGCTTTTTATTTGCTGCTGTTGGAAAATAATTTTCGCACAAGCCTGTGTGTGTGTGCCTTAATTTAAGCTCATTTTTGCGCATTTAACTTGAAAATAAAGTATAGCAACAGAAAGAGCGGAAGAGGCAGCTGCTGCTGCTGGCTGGCAACTTGCTCAACCGGCAGCAGAAGGACACAAAATTATGTGCCCGAAAAAAAGAAGCAGGCAAGCAGGCAGGCAGGCAGGCTGTTTGGCAGCCCGGTTCGTAGGAGCTCGGACCACATTTATGGTGTAATCAGCCGTGGCCAGCCCTAAAGGAAGTTCTGGTCTCGTCCTCAGCAATGCGCGGCATGCAGACGACGACGAAGATACTCAAAAACGACATCACAGCCACGACGGTACGTCATGATGATCAAGAAGCTGCTGCTGCTGCTGCTGCTGCCTGTATTTGTATCTGTGTTTGTTGTAGATGCGTATGTGTGTGTGTGTCCACACACCACACCTTGAATATGAAACCTGGGGCCACTTGCACTTGGCGTGGGAAGATTTTTGTGCTCTTCGCCAGAGTCTTGTGCTCTGATTCACAGTCCCTATGCGTGTGTGCGCCTCTTAGTATGTGTGCGTGTGTGTCTGTGTGTGTGTGTGTGTGCCCCCGAAAATGCTGCATAGGTAGCTTGTGGGCTACTACAAAAGGGCCGAGTCCGCGTCCGAGTTCAAATTGTGTTGTTTCTGTTGTTTTTGTTGTTTTTGTTTTGTTTCTGCTTCCTCGGTGATTTCTTTTGGTTTCTCAGTTTCTCAGTTCGTTAGACGTTTTGTTGCGCCCGTTTGTTCTGCCCCACGCCAAATGACAAATGATTTTTCCCTCACAAAAAAAAACAAAACCAAAAAAAAATGAGAGGAAAAAAATTCATTGATTTTTAATTTATTTGTTTGGCTATTTGATTTTTTATTTTTACTCCCCCTCCCCACTCTTGGCTTTTCGTCGATATTTGAAGTTTTTTTTCTGCTGATATTCAAATGTGGTCTGGCATTTTCGTCAAATCATCGCAAGCTACGCATTCAAAATAATTACACTTTTAATTCGTTAGCAGCGCCCCCCCCCCCTCCCCCCTTCACCCATCACCCTTCCATCCCGCTTGTTTTGTTTTGTGTACAATCATCTCATTTGATTTGACAAGCAAGTGATTTTCAATAATAATGAGAGCTGCCCGTCAAGTGCGGCACAAGAAACGCGGCACGTTGTGTCCACTTGACGGCGGCAGCAGCAACAACAACAACAAACATGGCCAAGAGCTTCGGCGAAAAGAATGTAAAATTGTCGAATGGAGAATGGAACTGAAGTAGTTGGCCCTCTGAGTCTTAGAAGATATATGTTTCGTTCATCTGTTGTATCTATATCGGTATCTGTATCTGTAACTGTATCAATCTGATAGATACTTACGTTTCTCGCAGTAGTCGCCCTGCCATCCCGTCAGGCAGATTATTTCACCCGATTCGGAGCATGTGTAGTGTCCGAATTGATCGTCACGGGGTCGGCAGAGATTCGCACAGCCGGTGCCATAATAATGCGCATCGCAGGTGACACGGAAATCGTATTCGAGCGACGTGTATTGGGACTCGGATTTGTTCGTCTTCCATTCGGACGAGACCTCGAGCACTTGCTGCACGGAGAGGCGTTGTATGAGCAGATCTGAAAAGAGATACAGACAAACCATAAAGATAAGTAAAGTGTGTCTGTGTGTGAGAAAATACGGAGTGGAGCTGGCCCTAATGAAGATTAATTGGACTCAGGTTACAGTTTAAGGGAATCGAATGAACTTGGGAGGCTGGCGCTGGAGTTGGAGCTGGACTGTCCCTGGCGGCATTTCGGCAGATTAGAAACAGACACAAGAAATTCAAATCCCAAAGCAAAACCCGAAACTTCAACTCTGCGAATGCAATCGCAATTGCGCTTGTCACACTCGCTGCGCAGGCGCACAAGTCAAGTGCCGTGCCAAGGTATGCGACCAGCCGGGGGTAAGTACTTGGTATTTGCAACGTGCAGCGGGCGGCAACAGGCAGGCGGGCAGGCAGCCAGGCATGCAACACACGACCAACTGAGCGTCGCAGACGGACGTCAGTTGCATTTTCAGCTGTTCGCTGAGCCAAGCGGACCGGTCTTTTATTTTTTTGAGAAACTATTGGATGCCAACTTGTTTGTACCTATGAGTGTCTGAGTGTGTGTGTGTGTGTGTGTGTGTATGCATAGCTGTTTCATATAGCCACATTATGCCATGGTCTATAAAGTAAATTGCAGGTGCATGACTATTCGAATTGCATGCAGCCAAGTCGAACCTCAAGCCGTCGCTGAGGCTGAAGCGAGCCAAGAGTTTTGTTAAGTTAACAAAAAACAAGAATAAAAAGAACCTATGCATAAATCTCCGTCTATCTATTGTAGCTCAGGCTTGGCCGTAAGCCAAGAATCGAGTGAAAATATATATTTGGAACGCGCTGGCAAAAGCAAAAGTTGCCAAAGAGTTGATCACAGCAAAAGCAGTTAGTGAAAGTGGGATTAAATAGTTGGCCACACAGATTAGCTGACAGCCAAAGAACTCCGTTAAAAGGCAGCTTAACAAGCAGGCAAGCAAGACAAGGCTGCCATGCAGTCAAATATAAATACGAATATGGCCAGAAATGTTGTTTGCCCAATAAATTACAAGCTGCAATTGACAAGCGCTCCAACTGGTTGCCGAAAATTTTGAGTCAAATAACCATATTCAAAATATCAACTAATTAATTACCAAGCAGCCAAAAATGTGTGAATGTGCACGTGTGTGTGTGTTGCATAAACAAAATTCTAAGCCAGTTGCAAGTTGGATTTCGTTTACGGCCAAGTCGTGTGCTTCACCTGACGTGGCAACATGGAAAAACGCTCAATGCGAGACTCGCGCCAAGCAACAACATTCCCCAAAAAAAAAGCACAGCTTAAGGCACAAAAATTAAATTCAAAAATAAGCAAAAAGAATTGCATATTGTGTGTCTGTGGTTTTATTTACATTTGCAACGCACACACACATGCAGCAACGGATTTGTGGCATGACAGGTTATTAGGCGACGTACCGGCAACGCTTCAAGCGAGACGCACAATTTGACTGCAGGTTTCGGGGTCCAGTTTGGCCAGTTGGCCAGTGTGCAACAACAACAACAACAATAACATAGAAATATATGTGGAAAATCATGCGCAACTATTTCTGCAAATATTTACGCAAAACGGCATTTTTTAATTATCTATCTATAAAAAGGACACTAAAAAGAAGACATTTCGCACACTCAAAGTGAAAAGTTGCGTGCGGCAACTTTCGCAATTATAGAAAATGTTGCTCTTAACGACATGATTAATGGCCGCCGAGTGCGGAAATTGTCAAAAGAAATATACTGAATTTCCCTGATGGGTATGTTTTCTTTTCTTTAGATAATTGTTCACTCTAATTATCAAAAACTATATAAGCGAATAGGTAAGTGTGTACAAATGGGTATATGTATTTTATTTTCCCTTTGGGACATTTACTCAACTCGCCTTTTGGCTAAATAAACACTTGAACAAGTGTTGCCAAAATGATATAAACTATAAATACTTATTTCCCAAATTTCTCAGCTTGGGTAATTTCAATTAGATGTACCTTCAAAATAGCAGGTTTGTCAAAATTGTAAATACAACATTTACCCATTGCGAAATTGTCCTCAAATATACAGGATATTTCCCTGCATTGGGTATTTTTTCAGAAATGTTGCCAAATTGTTGGGAGATTCCAATCAAAGCTATTAAAATATACCTAAATAGATAGGCAAGTAATGTGCAATAATTTCCCTTTTAGGACATTTATCCAAGTCACTTTTGGTACTTTGCTGCTCGTTTTGTCTTTGAGTGAAATTTGTGTGCAACAAATTTGCAAGAGGCAGAATCTTAAACTTGACTCTGACAAGGGGCAAGGCTTAAGTGTAAGGCTTTGGCAACTGCAAATATTTAGTCGCAGTCGCAGTCGGCGTTGCCGCAGCCTCTGCCGTTGCCATCGCATCGCTGCGCTGACTTCTTCCAAAGGAATTTATAAAATACCATTTTATCAAGACACACGACGGAGCGGCAACGTTGCAGACGCTCGGCAAAGGGGTCGGCGGCGGCGGCGACGGTGGCAACAAGTTTTGTGTTTCTGTGGCAAAAGAGACCCCGGGACTGTTGCTGGGCTGCCGCTTGATCCAATGAGTTAAAATTAAAAGATAAGCATTTTAACAACATCGCCAGCAACAACAACAACAATAAGGCACAACAACGTGCAACTAACAACTTTGGCATTGGCAGAGATTAATTGGTAGGTAGGGATAGGTGAAAAAAGAGAAGGAACAAAAAAAAAAAAACGAAAACAAAACAAAAAGAACGCCAGCGAAAATCTTAAGAGCATGAGTTGAAAGATTTCGACGCATCAAGCCAAGAATCACCTTGCACGACGCCTCGCACAGACCCGAGGAAAGGGGAAGGGGGGTGGGGGGGCGGTCGGTGGATGGTCGCCGGTCAAGCTGTGTGTCTCGTCCTCGTTCTCCTCCTCCTCCACCTCAGGCAGGCAGCTGCTGCTGCTGCTGGCAGGCAAACAACTGCTGGCCTCCTGCCTGCAGGCAAACTGGCGAAAAGGTCGCAACAGTCGAGTTCCGATGTTCCCCCCGCACACTCTGCCCTACCCCCCTTCGCCCCAGCGTCCGTCTTTTTCCTTTTTTGTATGTAATTTATGTTAAATGAATATAACAAAAAGAGCTGCTAAACTTGTTGGGCATGCAACGCACTCGAGACAGGCGTAAACCTGCCATGCAGCCATGCAGCCCGGCGCAAGTATGCGGGAGATCGTTCCCGGAGCAACAACAACAACAACAAGAACAACCTCCTTGATATAATGAAATTAATCCTTGACAAGCGCGTACAGCGACTAGAAATGTGCGCAAAATTGAAATTGCAAAGGGCTTGCCCGGCCGATAAAGATCTATTAGCTCTGCCCGCGTCTAGTACTCGAAAATTAGCTGTTAAGATCGAGCTGGGCTCGCAGCAGGATATCATCAGTTGAAAAGGAAAAAGAAAGAAAAAGAAGAAAGAAACAAATCTTCGAGCTAAACAATTAAAATTCCTCCAAGGATGGGGAACACAGAAAACTAGATTTTTTTAATGGAAACCCACATAAATCTTGCCAGGTCAGGAAAACGAGCAGGTAGCCCAAGCATTGTGTGGGAAAACTCCAAAAAAGAAAACCAAATGGAAAACCTGCTCTGATCAAAATGTGAAAGAGTAGAGAGAGAGAGAGAGAAAATGATGATATGTGATGCAGCGTGTCCTTGGGCATGGACCACACAGATCCATCCCTCCCTGTGTGTGTGTGTGTGTGTGTGGGCCTTATCGGGCTGCTGGATCGGCGATCATGTCGCATTGTTCCAAGATGAATTACACGCCGTACACGATCGCTAAATTCCACAGTGAAATAATCAAAGTCCTTCGCCTAGAACCGAGAGTTCGTGATTAAAAAAAAAAACGCAAAAGCCAGCAGACACAAGCTAAAAACTAAAGTGCATTCAAGTAAATGAGACGAGGACGGGACGACCTCAGCACACTTCCGTTCGAGGGCGAGCAGACAACAAAGGCGACAAGTCTGCGGTGCCTCCGGCATTGGTTTATCCCTAACTAAAAAAGGGAGCCACCGGTGCTAAACCTGACGCTCGCTCAATGCCTCAGCCTGGCTGTTATTTAAAACCACTCGAATGTGCCGGAAATCTTACACACACACACTTGCGGAAAGTGTTGAACTTTAGTTAGTTGCGCAGTTAGCGAAACTAGAAATTTGAGTGGCCGCGTATCAGGTGTCGCTCCAAGGATCGTTGATCCTCGCCAGCCAAAAAAAAAAATAAAAAATAATCAAAAAACATTTCTGACAGCTTTCGATCCAACAGGAAGCAGGATGCGAGTTATGAATTTAAATTACGCAAATAACTGTGCCACAGGATGTGTGCGCGGCCAAAAAGGAAGGAAAAAGCGTTGACAAACTTTTGGTACTCACTGTTGGTGCGCGCATTGGCGCTGTTGTTCGTATCGTGCCAGGCCTCGACGATCAGCGTGAATGTGCCCTGCAAGAAGCAAAGGGTAAAAAGAAAGTTAATACAAATCATATACAAAATGGAGGGGGGGAGGGGGTAGGGTATATATTGTGTGAACAAGAGGAAGAGCAGCTTATCAAAACGGGAAGCGATCTGTTGCCGCGTTTGTGCTGTGGTTAAACGAAATCGGGCACTTATATAGATATCATCTGGGCCACAACCAGCTTCGAGCTAATGGCTCGAAAGCTCTTACAAATCCCACAGCCCACAGAGCTCATTACAAACAGATTATGACAGCGCCGAAGAGGCCCGCCCACATGCCCCAAGCTGGCCAACAGCAGCAAATGCAGGCAACTGGCGGGCGGCGGCGGGGGGGCAGGCAAAAATGTGCCAACACACACAAACACACTCGAGCACACACACAAACGAATTTCAAATGCAAATGCACAGCAGTTGGCAACTGGCAGCGCCCTCAATTCACACTTGATTACAAATGCAGCCTGGCCCGAAGGTGGGAGGAGGGGAGGGAGGGGGTGAGTGGGCAAAAACCAGACAGAGATGACACAAAATCCAACAGCCGAAATGTATATATACATGCTGTCTGTATATAAACATATACGTATTGGCAACATCTGAGCTAAGCTTGAAAGCAGCTTGAATGGGCGTGTGATTGCGTACGGTTTCGAGTTCGAGTTCGCGCTTGAATTCGAATTCGAGTTTGCGTTTGAGTTCGTGTTTGCATTGCATTAAAACGACTAATTTTCGACTAACTTTCGATTGCTGCATCGCTGTTGCTGCTGATGTTGCTGTTGTTGTTGCATGTGTGTTGCGTGGGCGGCAGATGTAGAATTAATTTAGTTGATAAGCGCAGTGCCGTTTGCCGATTGCATAAGCAGCTGAAGTATTGATGTGGCTGTGGTGTGGCCAGACATTGAAAACTGCATTTGCTGATGGCTGATGGGCACGACAGGAAACAAATCAGACACACACACACACACGCACACATAGATGATCAGCAGTTCACAATGGGAATTGAACGAATGCAACGAAATGAAGCGCTGCATTTATTGGGAATTTTGCAGTGAATACAAGTTTTATGCCTTATTGGGCTATAAAACCAAATGAGTATATTTTTCCAATAGGGAAATTTCAAATTATTCTAGCAAACTCTGGCGACTAGCTGTGAGTTATTATAAAGAAAGAACTCACATGAAATATATATATAATGCATGTACATAAAAAATATATGTATATATAAAATATATGAGCTCCAAAAATAAATGAGCGACATACACACACACACACACTCACACACATACTAACACGCGAACATATATCGCGTGCGACGTCGCTGTATTTCAACGTCAATATCTGCAGCATAGGGTGAAGTGCATGCCAAATGCATAGGGCGCACGAGCAGAGTAGGAGTGGCAGCCACGTAGCAACAGGGACGGGACAAGACAAGACAAGACACCCGCCGCAGTCGTTTGAAGGGGCAGTACGAGGGGAGTAGGGGACGCATCGACAGACAAAAGTAACAAAGTTCAATACACAGGCAACAGGCAACAGCAACAGCAAAAGCCACAGCCACAGACAACGATGAGGAGCGTCAAAGTTGCTGCCGTTGCCAGTCGTTGACTATTTTTAGGCACAGCCACAGCAACAGCAGCAGCAGCAGCAGCAGCTGAAGAGGCGTCTCCGGCAACCCCCAATGCAACAAGCGCATCTCATGCTCTCGCACATGCATGCGTGGCCCGTGGCCCGTGCCCAACCCGTGGCTCATTTTAATTAAGTGCAACATTAAATTAGTTGTTGCTGAGACTCTGCCACGTCTAGTCGCTGACTATAATTACATTCTATAGCTTGACCTAGAAATATTTGAAGTTGAAAGTGTGAGCACCAAAATAGAGCATTGTCTGACCGAAATAGTCAATTTCCTATTGCCTGACATTTGTTCATTGTCAACAATTTCCCTGCTGGGACACATATATTTGACTGGGATCATCAATTGGGCAATTTTATAAATTTCCCTATTTTGGCACGTCCACTTGGCACATTTTGCTAATTGTCTATTGCTTATGCATTTCGTATATAATTTTATTTGAAGTTGAAAGTGTGAGCACCAAAATAGTTCATTGTCTGACCGAAGTAGTCAATTTCCTATTGGCTGACATTTGTGAATTGTCAACAATCTCCCTGCTGGGACACATATATTTGACTGGGATCATCAATTGGGCAATTTTATAAATTTCCCTATTTTGGCACGTGCGCTCTGAAGTCCGTCCATTTGGGACATTTTGCTAATTGACTTTTGCTAATGCATTTCGCATATTTATGCATAATTTTCACTTTGCCCGCAGCTGCTCAAATTTATGCAACTTACACAATTCACGTGCCGATAACTCCAGCTAGATGTGTGTGCGTGTGTGTGTCGGCATATTCTCCTCTCCCGACCAGCCGCAATAGCCCAGCAGGCATGGGCCTAGCATGACTTTGCCACTTTAGCCAACGCATGTGTGTAATGATAATAATGGTGACGCTGCACATGCGCGAGCGATTAGGAAGTAAAGTGTATACACAGAAGAGCGAGGAGGAGAGGGGGGAGAGGGGGCATGCGGCAAATCCACCCCTTAAGTCTGCCGCACACGCTGCGGGCGCGCTGACAAGCGAGAAGTCGCTTCAAAAATACGTTACAAAATGCAAGCGGGCTTCGGCGCAGCGCAAGGTAAGCCAGCAGCGCGAACAAATGTGGGGTGAACAGCCAGCAGATAGGCAAGGGGCAGGGGAGGCGGCGGCATCAGCGCGACTCTTCGTTCGGTATGGCAAATGTGGCCGTAATACTCGTTATAATTAGGAAATGCATCGCATGCTACCGTCACAAGCTATATGCGAGTGTTTCTTGGCCACTGGAGCATAAAAGAAGAAGAAGGCAAACGGAGGAATTCAGCTAGAGTGCAAGTATTTCGAATTTGAGTTATTTATTAAGCAAGCACGTGCGCTTAGCTAGGAGAGCAAGCGAGAGCGAGCGAGAGAGAGTGAGAGGAGGGAGAGGCAGGCTGGACAGCCTAATGGAAAATCTGCCCAAGGTGACCAAAAGTCAGCGCGTTTCTCTCTCTCTCTGTCTCTCTCTATCTCTTTCTGCGTCTCTGAAAAAAGTAACGTTCGTTTGCTTTTTTCGTGTGGGGTGGGGTCAACCAGGGGTTGAAAAGCGGCAACCCGTAGCCCCGGCCCCGGCGGTAGCCAGCGAGCTGGAAATTGTCGCTGGTGGTGCGCGGCGGCGCACGCGTTTTTCAGCGTATTTTAATAGCCGACAGATGTTTGCGCCAACAACCCTTGACAAGGACACAGTCGCTGCGACTGCGGCTGCGGCTACGGGCGGAAATAAGTGCGACGCACAGTCGCACAATCGGGGCAGGGCTGTGCTATAAAAAGCCCCCAAACAAATTAGCAAAGACGCCGCAAAATAAAATAAAGCGAGAGAGAGCGACAGAGAAGAGTTAAAAGAAATTACAACTGAGCAGCGGAGACAGCACTGAACATTTTATTGACTGACTGACTGAGTGACTGACTGACTGACTGCCTGGCTGAGTGAGGAGGGCGCTGACTCACTCTGTGCGGCTATTTATAGAGGTACACAAGATATATACAAAGAGTTATCTGTTGCGGGCGGATCGCGTGTACTTACCGGCCAGGCAAAGTTGAAGGCGAACTGTATGGGATTCGTGAAGCCCCTGCTCTGAAAGCTCTGCGCATCCGACAGATTGAAGGAGTTCTCGCCGAGTATCGGGGTCACCACATCCCCGTACGTGCACTGCGAGGTGGTGTCTATGGTCGCCTGGTAGTGCTTCAGGCAGACCCGAAATCTCGTCTTGCAGGTGCCAATGCACTTGCCCGTCGTCGCATCCTTTTCGCCGGTGCAGCAATGGCCCTCGTTGTCCCGGCCATGCTCGTTGCTGAAGTATCTGAGGCGCAATTCAAAATTGCCGGAACTGTGAACCTGCGAGAAAGAGAGAGAGAGAGAGAGAGGGGGGGGGGAGAGAGAGGAGGAATATTGCATTAGTATAATCAAATTAAAAAGCAATTCATTTAAGTTGACGCTCCGATCGAAAGATCGCTCCAGCCGGCAGACAACAAATCAAGAATGCAGCATCCCCAGCAACACGGCAATAAATCTTTCAACATGGTATTTTACCGAAAAAAAAAGGAGCTGCAAAGAATAAATGAAACACGGCTACGCTGCGGAATTTTGCGTGGCGATCAGCAAAACCACAACCAAAACGACAACCAAAACCAAATACCAAATCGAGTAGCAATTGGCTGCAGATCGCGCAAAAGAGACCCATGCAAAGGACAAAGCGGTCTTATGAAATATTAAGAGTCAAGAACCAAGCAACAAATGCACAGCGAGCGGTCGCCTTTTGCCCCACTTCCCCTCCCCTTTGTTGCTCTGGCCCTGTTTCGGGGTTACTTTAAACTCGACTCCAACTCTGTTTCGTATTTTGTGTAGTTTTTCGTTTTTGAAGCGCCGCCTTTGGACGCATTTGCATATTTCGACTTGCAAATTTGCGATTTGATTTCACTTGATTTGATTTGATAGTCGCGTCTGTCATAAATTTCTCAATTAATTCGCTATCAGATTTTACGGCGCTGGGTGTGAGATGAATTTGTAAAATAGGTCGGCAGCGCGTGTTAACAACTTAATTATTTGAAATGTTTTCGAAAATAGTCCGTTTTGTTCGTAGCTTTGTGTTTCTTTGATTGATTCGAAAATTTCCCTTGTTGGGAAAACGATGTCTGTAATTGGGAATCTTTTAGGGAAATTCTTGCACATCATATATGGCTCTCGCTAGAGCACTTAAGATATAATTATGAGTTCACCGGCATCCATAAATGGGCGCTGAAAACTCTCAATACTACGACAAGGCAATGCCCAAAAATAGGCGCTCTAGAGTTATTGCTCTGATTGCTGCTGCTGCTGCGGCTGTTGCCCGTTTTCTATAACTGTTCGGCAATTAACATTTTGACAACAACAAGTGAAGCTTGTTAAAATGACAATTTAATTGTTAACAAGACATGAGCACTGACTGAAGACAGAGACGGAGCTAGCCGCTGCTCCACATGCGTTGGCTTGGGAAGCTTTTATTGTTTGCGTTGCTCTTGTTGTTATTGTTATTGTTGTTGTGTTTGTTGCTGGTTTACTTCATCTCTTTGTATGAACATGGGTGTTTAATTGCTCAATTAAGCCGAAGTGCGTCTGATGTTGCCTCTTTTCATGTCTTCTTCAGATGCTGTGTAAGCAATGCCCCTTCAACGCACAGGTGTAATCTGTTGGGGGCCCCCCGAAGAGGAAACAAAAAATAAAGCGTGGCTCGCAGTCCACGCACAATGCGATGATACAAAGGGCGACTTTGAAAAAAAAAAAACTGTAGCAAAGCTGCTTAACTAACATTTAATGGGCTCGGCAATTGAGCTCTGGCGCTAACATTTGCCGCACGCCTTTGTAATTGTAAATGTGGCTGGCGAGTTGTTGGCTAAGAGAGCTTTCAGTTGATAAGATAAACCAATTATTGATGTTCTAGCAACTGCGAATGCAGCTCGCGATAGCGCATAAAACTCGCACAAATCAAATATATATAAAAATCAAGAAGGAAAAAACGCCTAAGATACACGCAAAACGAAAGACTTAAGCAACGAACGCGCCGACAAATGCAGGCAGCGGGCGCGGACGCAGCCTGAGACGTCGACGGCGACGACGACGGCGACGCTGCTGCGCTACGTACAACAAAACGTGTATTAATAAGCAGCGGGCCAAAAAAAAAAAAAAAGAAATAATAAAAATAAAACAACACACGGCAAAACGGACGCAAAAGAGCAGCACAAAAAGAAGCAGCAGCGGCAGCAGCAGCGGCAGCAGCAGCGACAGCGACGACGACGGCAACAGGCAGGCGAAGAAGAAGAAAAACGTTGAAAAAAATGAACAAGTAAAACCGAATTGTTTCCCACGGCATACGATTTTGCCGGTCAACATTGATGGTTAAAACGAACAAACGAACGAACGAACGAGCGAGCGAGCGAAGGAACGAACGATCGAGCGACGAAGTGACGGCCCGACGTCGCGTCGGTGAGTTCAGTCGGAGGCGCAGCAAAAGGTGTAAGCAAGAAACGAACGAACGAACGCCAGGTGAAGAAGCGGCCTGCAGACAGCAGTGCATGCATGCAGAGCCAGCCATGTTGAAAGAGCGAGAGATGTGCACAGAAAAAGAGAGCGCAACACAGAGAGACGCTCTCTCAGAGAGCGCAAAAGCCCCAAAGCTATAACAGTTTAGCGTGTGTAGTTGTTGTTGTTGCTGTTGTTGTTGTCAGCTGGTGCTGTGGAGCTTTGTGCAGCCTGCAGCCGAAAGAGCAGCGCCAAAGCGCAAAAAGAGCAAAACGTGACTTAAAAGTGAATTGGAGTGTTGTTGTTGTTGTTGTTGTTGTTTTTCTTTATTTCTTTTTTGTTCCTGTTGTTGTTGGCTTCATAAAGTGCAGCTGGCAGCTGCTGCCAACAGCCTCCGCAAGCTGCGAGAGCGCAGCGGCAAAGAGCGAAAACTTGTTTTTTGAACGGCGCTTTGAGGAAGAGTAGTGCGAAAAAAATATAAGAATTAATAGACGATCAGCAATGATGCGTTGCTGATGCGAGACACAGACTGCGACGGCGACGCTGACGGCGACTGAATCAGAATCTATAAGAAAAAAGCTCTTGCAAAAGAAATGTTAGAAAAAGCAATGAGCGGAAGGAAGGTTAAGAGGCAAGTGCAGGGCAAGCAAATATACAGCTATGGCTGGCCAACTATTTGATATGCAACAAACACACACACACACACACACACACACACACGCATAACAAAGCAGAAGAAGCAAACAAAAAGCGCCAATGCGCATACAAACAAAGGCGCAGGCGGTTGTCAAAATATGTACAAAGCAAATCAATTTGCATAACAGCGAAACATTTACACACACACACAGACACGTGGTCGGTGGGAAAAGAAACAAAGCAGCGGTGCAAAGCTTTAAAATGATGTGCTATGACACAAAACCACAATAGTTTTGTAAAACAATTTGACACCATTTGAATGCTCAAATGCGGTGCATACGATTTTCCCACACTATTCGGACAGTCGAACATACATAATTTCCCAAGCAGGGAAATTCTGCTAGCCACCCACCCACATAATGAAACAGTAAATGCATAGCGAAATTTCCCTCATCCAATAAATTATTGTATATTTATAAAATTCAAATTGTGTATGCATTTCCGTTGCTGGTAAAATTCATAATTTTATACACTTGTTATAGTTCTTTTGTTTTTGTCTAGCTTTGCCTTCAACTATGAACTTTATTACGCTTGAAGACCTTTTGGGCACACATAAATAAGAGGAGGAAAAAGAGCTTGTCGAGAGAACTTGAAAGCTGAAATGCCAAGTTATGCCAAGTTATCCCAAGACTGGTCGGGACGGTGCCGGAACGGGACAGACACTTGTTAAAAGTGTTAGAAAATAGTGCGTTGCATTGTTTACCTTTTGCTTGACTCAGTTTGCTCAGTTAGCTGTTGGTTTTTACGAGCCATGGTAAATTTATACTGTATATGAACGTGGTATTATTTTTTTGTTTCTATTTTCCTCTACTGTGATCACTCAGGCCTGACGCGACTAGTTGGGCCCCTGCTTCAGCAGCTACCCGACCCGCACCCTGCAGCCCCTCAGCACTTTTTGCCATTTCTGCTCAGTGTCTTCCACGTCAACTTACGTTGACTGCCTGACTGACTGACTGACAGTTTGAATGTTGTGGGTTACAACACACACGCACACACGCGCACACACATGGCAGACATTAAAATGTATCAACGCACGCATTTTACTTGTATTTTAATAACATTTTCTTACAGGTGTTTGTTTAGCCTATGCTGCTCCTATTGTTGTGAGTGAGAGAACAAATAGGGGGAGAGAGAGAGAGAGTTAGAGTGCCCTTTGGCTTTGGTACGTTGTTTATTAATCATTTAAAGTCATCATCATAATCAACCGTTAACAACGGGCTTGGGAAACAGTTATAAGCGCAAGTGAAACAGCTTCTGTGTGTGGGAGTTGCGGCGCCCGCCTCTCTCTCTCTCTAGCACTCTAGTTTCTAAATTGCAATTAATTATGTTATAAAGTGCGCAAGACAAAGACGAAAATAATGAAGCAGCTCAGCTCAGTTAAGCTCAGAGACTGCGTTATTCATTCATTCGCTCATTCATTCATTCATTTGACGTCGTTGTCTCAATGTTAATATGAAAATTGCACGAAATGCAAAACAGAAGAAAGAGCAATTACAGCATGCTGAGTATATGTATATGTATAGTATGTGTATGATAAGCATATAGACACAAAGTACGGTTATTTGATAGTTAAGTGATATTAAAACGCAGCATGTGAGAATAAACTGTGTGTAAAAGACATAATGTGATAGACAGAGGGATAGAGAGAGAAAGGGGGTGAGCGGGGGACCTTTCAATGCTGAATTCTAATACAAAAGGAATAAGGTATTCTTTTGGCAGTGCTGCCAGATTGCTCCAACTAGCACATCCAGAGTTCCAAGCCGAGCAACAACAGCTGCACTTTCTGAAGTGCCCCAAGTTTAACTTGCAACATTTCAGCTGGTTGAAAACGCAAGACCGCAGGAGGTTTCAAGACGCTTTTTCGAGTGCTGTTAAAATTAGCAACTAAATGAAAAGAGAACAAAAAAAAAACAGCAACAGTGAAGAGAAGAGAAGGGGGCAGAGAAAAAGTGGAGCAGAGCCACATGCAATGTTCAGGGGATGCTGGCGTTAAAGATCAATGAAAGAAGCAGAGGCAACAAAAAACGAGAGCAAGTGCATGCAACGAGCAGCCGCCGCTGCGCATGTGTCGACGACGCCGACGTTAACGTTAACGTTGACGTTGACCTACGCAAAGTGTAGCCAAAAGTAAGCCCAAGTAAGAAGCGCATGCAAAAATGTCGACAGCGGCAGATGTTGCCCATTTAGACACACACGCATACACACACGCAATGCGCCTGTATTTGTGCATTTAAGTTTTATATTGAAATCGAGCAGCTTTTCGTTTTTCTGTTTTTATTTTTGCGTTTTCGAGGCATGCGCCGTTGGTGGTAATTTTTGTCTGTGTCCCTATAGAGACTGTTAAATTTTTGATATGGACCTGTTTGCCAATTGAAAAACCCAAAACTAGTTTTCATCTACACGAGTGCGAAGGGTGTCCTTTAAAAACCAACCCCTGTTTGCTCAGCTGTTTTCTCAGCTAGCAGCGAGAAACTCAGCTTCTCGTATTACATTTCGTTTTTATAAAAACTATAAGCCAAATTATTATCAAAATACATTTTGAAAAACTACATGTACGAAAGAATATTACTTCAGAAACGCGTAAATTAAAATTCTTCGCATGTCTCAATTCAGAGTTTGACAAATTTAATTACAAGATACACATATTTCGGATATAACAAATTCGGAAACTTAAGCTGCATCTGTCCAACTATAATAAAAACCGCTAACATTTGCTCGTCTCTTGGTTGTCACCAGGCTGGCAACGCCAAAAGCTCTCTCTCCTGCACGCACACATATAAAACGGCAGCTGCAAAATACAGGCGCGCATGTGTGTAGCAAGAATCACCGAAATAAAAAGAAGAATAACTAAAGAAAAACCAACAAGTTGCTGGTCCTACGAAATTTAATTAAAATGTGAAAGGAGAAAAAGGAGCGAGGCCGAGGGAGAGGGAGAGGAAATAGCTTACCTGCACAATTACTGTGAAGCAAATGAATGCGGTTAATAAACATTTAATCCACTGCATGTTTATTGCTGTTGTTGTTGCTACGCTTTCTTGTTGTAATAAACAAAATGCTGCTGCCGTTGTTGTTGCTGTGGTTGTTGTGTTGTGTGTGTTATTATTAGTGTAATAATCCTTAGTGGGGCGGCCTTGTTGTTGTTGCTGCTTCACTCACACGCACACACTCGATTACAACATAAAAAATAGTAGTTTATTGTATTTTTGGAAATTCTCTTTTGCAGCTAACTGCGGCACATGCTTTGGCAATTTTGTGTTGCTTTTGTGTGCATTTTGTTGTGTTGTTGTTGTTGTTGTTGTTTTTGTGTTTCTTTTTTTTTTTTTTTTAATTTGTCTCACACGTGCACGCGCCACATTTTTTCTTTCTTTTTTGTTGTGAGACAAGAATTCGACGGCTTTTTCTTTTTGGCGAATTTTCTTCGGCCTGCTCCTTCTCACGCACGGCGGGGGCGAGATGGGGAGGGCAAAGTGCCGCTAGTAAATTGGCTATATAAAAATCGCACTCAATCGAGCTATATGGACACACACGTACACATGCAAAACAAAAATTGTATTTGCCTTAGGTTGATGTTGATGCTTTTTTAAAAAACAATTTGAAAAACTATTTTTGATTTGTTCATGCACTTTTTGTAATTTTGGCTACCAAAATTTAATATTGATGTGAAAATTGAGAATTGGCAGCTTTGCTTCTTCTTCTTACACACTGAACATGCTTTAATTCGTATTCAAATTTTTGGTTGATTGATTGAAATTTGTGCGTTTTGCATTTGCTGCTCGTGATGTGGGCTACAAAAATTTCAAAGCGACGCGCGACACGACCGAACGATGTGCACGACATAAGAGCCACAAAGCGAATTGGCGACAAAACAACGAAGCAGCCGCAACGAACCGCACAGCGCAAGAATCCAAAACAGAATGAAAGCAGAAAATGTTTTATTTTTTAAATTCGTTTTAAGCAGCCACGCTGAGAGAGCAACAAACGGAGAGAGAGAGAGAGACCGACAGAGAGGGAGAGAGAGCGCGCGCTCGAGAGAGCATAGTTGCAGCAACAAAAAGGCTGCTGGCACACACACTTTTCGTGGTCATCCCTGTTTGACTCGATGTACGTGAGCGGTAAGCTGGGTGCGCCTGCGCGTCAGAACGGGACAACTACTGTCTGCCAGCTGCTGAGCAAAACGCGTTTTCTGTGCATATTTAGCGCGTTTCTGGCAAATGTTGCAAGGTGAGAGAAATGTTGCTGCAACATTGTTGAGCGGTCGGCTAAGGTGGTTGCGCGAGGTTGAGATTTAATGCAATTAAATAAAACTAATGCTAACCAAAAATTTAAAAATATTCTTATATTAAAGTTTACTATCAACATGTATATAACTGATTTACGCGCAAATTTGTTGCCCGCGCAATTCGCTTAAAAAAGTCAATGTACAAGTTTTTCAATCCTTTGTCTATGGAAGGGTTGTTTTTTTTTTCTATAGAAGCAAAAGGACCATAGATAAGCTGCAGGAACTGCACATAAAGGGATTTTTGGTCCTTTGTGGCACATGATTTGCATGTGAAAGGGTTTTGGGCAGTTTTTGGCGCTCAAACATAAAACTACAAAAAAACAAAAATAAATCAGGGGAAGCAAATCAAAATTAACATTCGATATTTTAGGCGGAAAGGCAAGGGATACAGATTTGCGGAAAAGTCAAAGTTTATTAAATTACATAAAAAGATAACATGAAGAATATTTGAAAAAATTGGTTTTTACGTTTGCAAATTTGCCAATGAATCCCGTTTATTAATTATTTTTATTAAGAAAGAAACCTATTTGAAAATACGTTGCAAAAGAAATATTTATATTTATTTTCTATAAATCAATCGAACAAATACAATTTTGGACAGAGCTAAGGATCATATTAAGGACTAAAGGTATATCAATAGATCTTCAGAGTGAGTTGAGAAAACATATAATATGGAATGCAATAAGATAAATGTATATACAATAATAATATATATATTAATGGAAAAAGTAATTCCGCACTTAAGACATTTGCAACAATCTCTTGTATAAGGGTCTGCAAATCCAACGAATGGGTCAAGATAAATTTCAATGATATTTATCAAAGATCTTCAGAGGGAGTTAGTCGCTACATATAATAACGAATCCATTAAGAAATATGCATATATAATAAAACTATATATATTAAAGCAGATTGCTAAAAAGTGAATCTTGATTCAAGACATTTGCGACAATCTCTTGTATAAGGCTCTGCAAATGCAATGAATGCGTCAAGATATATGTCGCTCGATTTACATTAGCAAAGATTGTTAATCATTTGTTGTCGATAAACTCTGATAAATGGCCAAAAATCTGTGTAGTCTCTGATCCAGCTGGAGCTCGATAAAGTTGTTGAAATTTGTACATAAAAATCGCTCTTCATTAATTTGCATGTCGCTGCGATTGTTTGGGGCCAAGAGAACATTTGCATATGAATGAGAAGAAGACAAAAAACGAAGAAGGAAAAAAGCAATCAAGTCAACACCCAATTTTACAAGAGCCACCAAAAATTTCACCTCACTTTCAAGTGGCCGAGACATGGCCCAGAAGATGGGCAGGGCAGGGAGCTGCAGCTGGAGCTGAAGCTGAAGCTGGAGCTGGACATGATGTGCTGCTCCTGGGAAGTTCAATATTTAAACAACAATTCTTTCGCGCCATAAATTAGGCAGCAAAATGTGAGCGAAGAGTGAAAAGTTTTTAAATTAAACACAAATTTATGGCCGCCAAAAGCTGCGGGCTGTGGGGCAACAAGGCAGAGGGGCAGAGGGTCGGCGGGGACAGGGGGGGCAGCTCCAGACACACTCGAGAGCCACGGTCAGCGGCAAGTTAGCACCTGTAAACCGGTTGCTGGGGCTGCTGCGCAGGTAGCCTGGCCGCTGGCCAAACAGATGTCCTGCTGCTCCAAATTGAAAGCGCAACATACATCATCCTTCCAAAGGGCGTCCCCCGCCGCCCCCGCTGGCCCCGCTGTGGCTGTGGCTGTGGCTGAGGGGCGCCTTGCCTTGCCGTTTTGAATAATAAGCAAAAAAGCCAAAACCCAAAACACACAGCCAAAAGAAATTGGGGTCATGCACTTCGCACGCATGCGGCGTCTTGCCGAGCTGCCACCAGCTCCAGCAGCTCCAGCAGCTCCAGACAGACCCCCTCCCCCTCCCCCTCCTCCCTTCCCCTGCTGCAGCACGTTGCGGTCAACATCTTTCACTTTGCAAGTGTACTTTATGTTTTTTTTGTTGTCTTCTTGGCTTAAACGTATTTTTATTTTATTTTATCAGCCTCGCTTCGTTGCATGCCACAAGAAACTTGAAAATTAGGCGCGTGGCTGTGACATTTACCAAAAAGGGGGCGGCAACGGGAGGGCGGGCTGCAGTTGAGTCTCGTGATATGTTTATAGTGCATGTGCACGGGAGGAGGAGGATGCAACAGCTTTTTATGCCTTTATGCAACCTGTTGACGTTGCTCTTGACTCGAACGGGGCACGTTTTCTGAATTCATCTTATTAAATATAGATATTACAAGAAAATAATAACGGGAACGACGAGCATCTAATTCCCTTGCGGAAATTTCCCTTTTGCAGATACGTAAGAAAAGCTACGAGCTGGAAATGCTGAGCTTGTTGAAAATATCTTTGAAAACAGAATACTCTGTCCTATGATATGCTACCATTCCACCAATCTTATCTATAGCAGCTATAGGATATAGTGGTCCGATGTTGATTAGATTTTGAATATATTTAAAAATCATAATGGAACTAATAAATCATAAATTCGGTCAACTTATCTTATTATAAAGAAAGATTTCCATATCAGAACCAACTTTTCGACCGATCGTTCCTATGACAGGTATATGATGTAGTAGTCCGATCCGGAATTCCGACATATGTAATGCCTATAACAGAAAGACGAGTCTATACAAAGTTTTAAGACGATAGCTTTAAGACTGAGGGACTAGTTCGCATAGAGACTGACAGACGGACATGGCTATATCAACTCGCCTGTTGATGTTGATCAGGATTATATATACTTTATGGGCTCGGAGATGTTTCCTTCTATTGTTTGAACATTTCGTGACCGAAATATAATACACTATCTAAGGGTATACAAACTTAAAGTACTTGAGATAGAGAGAATGCGAGGGTTGGAATGATGCAATTTTAAAATTTTTAAAAATTGTTTTGTTCAAAATAAACAAGTAAATTATAATAATAATATAAAATATTTGATAGAGAAAGGAGATCAAAGCTAGCACGAATTTTTTATATGAACGTGTAAATTATAAATTAAATGTTCTACTAGAGATTTGAAACAAAACCCAAGTTTATAGCTTCACATGTGAAACTTAACGAATTGGTTCAAAATCTGAACCGAACCCCCGACAATTTATATTGGATTCGCAGCCCTGGTTATTAAAATATAATGCTTCCTTGTTCCTTTGACAACTTAAGATCTGTTTTATTATATATATTGTAAGATATTGCTGGCTGGCTTTAGGAGTTCCACAGTTTAATAATTTGTTTCTAGAAAGAAACTCATGTATTATTATTTAATTTTTATTAGGGAGCTGCTTTCATTTAGAACAGGTAAATTTAAGGACTCTCTGCACACAGCTTGGCCAGATTAATTCCAAGTCCAGAAGAACAAACTTTTGCAGCTTTGCTTCCAGGAATCGCACGCCATTCAAATGATTCCAAGAATTTCGGCACATGTTGCCGAGCCGATCTCCGAATGTCCTTGCCGGCCGCAGAGGGGAGATGAGTACAGCTGATGGCTGCTGTGGATCCCAGTAAACATCCTGTTATGAAACTGCATAACTCGTTTGGCGTTTCATTCATCAGCAAGCGGGCAAGGCGAATGCGTAAAAGTTCGCGTAAATATATGGAGAAACCGGAAGCGATCTATAGAACCTGCAGTTCGTGGGAATTTCGTCAGCCACTTCCTTCCTTCCGCCTGATCCGAGGCTAAACAACAAAAGCGCGGGTGGAGCACCGATCCGCCGATCCGATCCTTCTTGGGATATGTCTATGAGCGCGAATCAAATTACGCGCGGCCCGAGTCTCCGTCCCTGGCACAGTCTCTGTGCATTCATCATCCACATGCTGCTGCTGCTGCTGCTGCGGCTGCTGCTGCTGCTTGTTGGTTTGCACCTTGAGCCTTGACTACTTCCGGTTTTGCGCGAAGGACATCAACAACAACGACGACGCAGCGACACAGCGACGCAACGGCGCGACTGTAGCAGCAGGTAGTTGTTGTTGCAGTGTCGAGTTTTTGCAGTTGCCTCGCGGCCGTTTCCTGCGCCTTGCCCACGCCATGCAAATAAGGATGTCGAATGTCGCCGGCAGGACATGCCCTGCCCGCTGCCAAACCAAATAAAGACAACAAGTGCCCGATTCACTCGAGTCCCTTGCCGGATGTTTTTCATTAATCGATCGCAATTGCCAATGCGATTGCAGTCAAGTGCTTTAAGTCAACCCACAAAGGGATTCTGGGCAAGGATTTATCTTAAATTGAATTTTCAACTGAGAAACTACCGAGTTTTTATTTCACAAAATTTTAGATAGGTAAGCAACGGGGCTCACAGCTTTGCAACAATTTTTGGTTTAAGGTAGCCTAGTTTAGATGTGTACAGGTAATAGATGTATATATATGGTATTTTATATATATGGTTTTTAAGTTCTTTTTGTTTACTCTAGTCTAGGTTCTAGTTGGGATCTTTTTAAGACTTCTTTTTTTTCGCCTCCTTAGATGATTCCTTGCCAGGACTTTACGATGTTTGTGAAGCTTAGATAGATAACATTTTTTGGTTGCTTTTCCAAAAGACTATTTTATGTAGGGATTTCTAAATTTTTAATATTTGAACGCAATGTAATC